GGGTATCTCCCCTGTATACAGGAGGTATACATGTTATTAAACTTGCTTCTTTTTCTCCCTGTAATCTGTCTTATTGGGGGGGGGCAGTGTTAACCAAGAACCTAGAAGGGGAGAGGGAAAACTGATTTTCCTCCCACACAATCGCAGTGGAATACTACTCAGCAATAGACATTAAACCATCAACCCACAGAAAGACATGGGTAAATCTTACTTGTATGTTACTAAGTGAAAGAATCCAGTGTGAGGAGGCTGCACACAGTATGACCCTATTTATGACAATCATGGAAAAGGCACAATTATATACATAAGCATATCATAGGGTGGGGTTGGGGGGCTGAAGTATCCCATGTGAAACTTTAGGTTGGTATCACTATAAGTATGTCTAAGCCCACACCTTTGTACAGCCCAAAGATCAATCATAATCTACTCAAATTTAGCTGTTTAGGGTGTGGCAGCATCATAAGATGGAACACACAATGTGACAGAATCTAACTGTATTAGAAATGGGTGTAAAAACTCAGTCGGTGGTGGGGCAAAAGGTGCTGACCTAAGTTAACTTTGGAAATGGACAGAATCATTCTGCAAAGGCAGAATGGACCACTGTTAAACTGTGGGCTTTATATTATAAAGTTCTTTCCAGGGTGTACTAGCTAACAATTCTGAAACCACTGTGAATGGAACCTGGAAAAGAGAGATGAGTTGATAAAGGGCAGGCGGTGGGAGCCAGGCTCCTCGCTGTGGTAATGGGAAGTCACAGATAAGCAAGGGGAGAGCCTTGGCCCCCATACTCCTGAATCTGAGCTTCCTGGACAGATGGTGTGGGGAATGGACTGGGAGGGGGAAGGCACAGTTCTTCACCCTGGGAAGGTCCTGCAGATGTAGGAACCACACACACCCTCCTTTCCCCCATACCTGCTGGAAACACTCAGACCTTTGAAATCAGCTAATGCAGCTTTTAAGGCATTCTCACCCCAAGGCAGATAAAGGAGCATGAGGGTCTTGCACCACCCCAAGCTGTCCCAGAATCCAGGCCCTGGAGGGTGGAGCCAGGATGGGGTAACTGGATCTCTGACCAGCAGGCCAAAGCAAGGAAGAAGACCAGTCCTGAGGGAAGGGGTCTCCTGAAGTCTGTGAGCCCAGTGCCCTGAAGTGATTCATTCCCTGTGAGGACAAGGGCAGGGCCTGCAGTGTTTCTATTTTCCACCTGTGCCACTTGGATGAAGCCAGGACATAACTGGACTCAGGGATACCCTGGCAGTGTTTCAGTCTCACACAGTGGCTTTATAAAGGAACAGGAGAGTGAAGCTGAGCACCTGACAGCCACTCCTCTCTGGCTCTGAGCTGCTTCCATCAGGACCACAGTCCCCTGCATGGAGTCTGCTGTAACCCATCTGCCCCAACTTGGGCTCTCCCCTTCCTCCCTGGACCCCTCTCCCAGGCCCAATGCATCTGTGCAAACACTGTGTCTCCCTCTCACTTTGGGGATAGTATGTCTGCTGTAACCCACCAGCCCCCTCCCAGCCTCTCCTCTTACTCCCAGGACCCCACTCCCAGGCCAGATGCATCTGTCTAACCACTGCATTCTCCTCTCACCTTGAGGCTGACAGGCTCCACACAGGACTGTTGTCCTGCCACTCTCCACACCCACCTTCCCTGTTTGCTGAGCCAAGACACCTGGGTCTTCCCAGTCCCCCAATTTCCTTGTGCCTTGGTGACTGTCAGCTCTTCCTCCCAAAATCCCAGGTGGTGTTTTGTAGGAATTGACAACCAATCTAAAATTCATGTGGAAAAGGCAAGGGTCTCAGACTAGATAAAGGAATCCTGAAAAAGGAGAACAAATTTGTAGGTATGGAAAGCCAGGCAGAACCCCATAGTTGGTATAAAGACACTTTAAGCTGAAGACACCTGAGATTTAGATGCAGGAAAAAAGCCTGCTTGGAGCTCTCATTATCTGAATAAAAGCAGAAACTTCTGAGGAATGACTACAGCTATCAGTTACCTCATCAGAGTGGCTTCTATTCCCAGGAGAGAGACCAAGAGCCAACCTACCATAAATGCCTTCGATGGGATGTTTTAGGACCCAGAAGAAGAGGCAAAGATCATTTATCCATGTACAGACACAGATTATGTGTGCAGACGTAATAACATGGGTACAGGTCCGTGTAGACAACAGATTATGCTGCCATCAAGCCACCAGCCACTGCAGCAGCCCCCTCACAAAGGTGCACCATGAGGGGAATTTAGAATTAAAAACAAAACAAAAGCAGGATACTGACCCTAGACAGTTAAGGAGCATATCAAAGGAATAATTTCAGTGAGCCCAGATTCTTGAATCTTCCCGTGCACAGAAAAACACTAAAATCCTTAACATGAGATGTATGTTTTTCATTATTAGCAATAGTCTTTTAATGTTTGAATACTTTTTTTTTCCAGCAAAATCTCTTATATAACCTGGCTCCTCCCTACCTCTTTGGAACAGTTCCTCAGAGCTAAGTGAGGAGCTGTTTCCAGGCTATCGTCCTCAGCCACATCCCCAAATAAAACATAATTCCCAACTTTTAGGTTGTGCTTATTTTCATTAGACACCTACAAACATCAAAGTATCAGACAGGGCCTGGGGGCCCCTTTCCAACACTTCCCAAACATGGTTCCACAGAGCACACAAGTGGAGAAGTATCAGCATCTGGACCATAATCAGTTTTCATTAACAATAAGAAGTGAGCTGTCCGTGCCTTTCCAGAGCTACATCTTCCTCAACCAGCATCTTGGCCCCTGTCTTACTTCTGTATTTCTCTGTTCCTTGTGCTCACATTCCAGGGCTAGTGCAAGACAGAAAAAGATGGCAGTACTGACTCAGTCAAACTTTTTTTTTTCAATTGAAGTCTAGTCCATTTATAATGTTGTGTCAACTTCTGGGGCACAGCACAATAGTTCAGTCATATATATACATACACATATATATTCCTTTTCATATTCTTTTCCATGATATGTTACTACAGGATATTGAATTTAGTTCCCTGTGCTCTGCAGTAGAATCTTGTTATTTGTTTATATATAGTAGTATCTGCAAATCTCGAACTCCCCATTTATACCTTTCCACCCTCTTTCCCCCACTTTGTTTCTATAAGTTTGTTTTCTATGTCTGTGTCTGTTTCTGTTTTTTAAACAAGTTCATTTGTCTCTTTTTAAATAGTCCACATATAAGGGATATCATATGATATTTTTCTTTCTCTTTCTGGCTTACTTCGCTTAAAATGACAATCTCCAGGTCCATCCATGTTGCTGCAAATGGCATTACTGTATTCTTTTTCTATGATTGAGTAGTATTCCATTGTATAAATATACCACAACTTCTTTAACCAGCCACCTGTTGTTGGACATTTAGGTTGTTTCCATGTCTTGGCTGTTGTAAATAGTGCTGCTACAAACATTTGGGTGCATGTATCTTTTCAAGTTAAAGTTCCCTCTGAATACATGCCCAGGAGTTGTTCACACTTTTATTAGTGCCTTCAATACCTGGGCCTGTGTTAGGCAATAGGCAGTCAGAATCAAATGTTAGATAATTTGTACAGTAAAGTAGACTATTGCTGCTACTTAACATTCTCTTTCCAAATCTAAGGTGACTCAAAGGTAAATAAGGAAGCAGTTGACTGCTTTGGGAATGGAAGCAGAAAACAAAAATGATATATTTCTGTTGCTGTCTCTTTTTTTAAGTCAAAAATTTCCACTTTAAAGGTGAGGAAGTTGAAGCCAGAGAGAAGAAAAATCTGCATGTAAGGTCCAAATCAGTGCGTTGAGATCTCTGATATCACTAGTGTGAGACTAACCCATTACCATAAGCAACTAGAAAAATGACCAAATATATGAAGCAAATGTTTTCAGAAACTGCACATCAGGTAGAAAGGACTGTGATCCCTGAGTGAAAAGAAATAAAATGCTCCTACTGTGATGGTTTAAATAGGTCCACAAATTCCTTGGTCATTTCTTCAAAAGAGCCTAATTCCTCTACCCTTGAGTGTGGGCTGAATTTAGACTTTTGCATTTAACAAACAAAAACTCACCTGATATAGCCAGAAATAGAAAGAAAAATGCTATATGATACCGCTTATATGTGGAACCTTTAAGAAAAAAAGGACACAAGTGACCTTAAAGACAAAACATAAACAGACTCACAGACATAGAGAACAAACTTATGGTTACCAGGGGGTAAACGGGGTGGGAAGAGACAAATCAGGAGTTTAAAATTTGGACTTCCTGAGAAGTGATGGAAATGTTAGCTATCTTGATTTTGGTGGTGGTTTCATGGGTGTAGACATCTATCAAAATTCATCAGATTGTACATTTGAAATATGCGTAGTTTACTGTACAGGAACCATACCACAGTAACGGTGTTAAAAACTAAAAATAAAATAAAAATTTCAAAGCATGTGATGTTTGGAACTTTGGAGAACAGGTCTAAGGCACAGGATATTCCTCCTTGCTGTCTCTCTCGGTTCACAGACTCTGGGGGATGTCTGGAGCCACACACTGTGAGCACACTCAAGCAAACACATGCAGGGAACCAGGAGGAACTGCCCTCCACCAGCAATAATGTACCAGGCAAAGAAGTAACACTCACCTTAGAGGCAGATCTCCCAGCACCAGGTGATGATGATGATGACCTGGCTGCAACTTCATGAGAGGTCGTGAGTCAGAACCACCCAGCTAACCCCCTCCTGGATACTGAGCCCACAGAAACTGTCGGAGAACATACGTTTTTGCTAAGTTGATAAACTGCACAGTAATTTTTTAAGAAGCATTACATGATTCATACAAATTTTGGTATCTATAGCAGTGGGCTGTTATAACCAAAACCTAAAATGTGGGAGTGGCTTTGATATCAGGCAGCGGGAGAAAGTGAAAAGGATTTCAGAAGTGCTAGTGAAAGCTTGATGTGGCATGAATATACTATTATTAGAAGTCCATATTTTGAGGAGGCTGTTGGTGAGAACTTATAGTATCAAAAAATCTGACTACAAACTAGGGGAAAGAGGACCTTTGTTAGGTAGTGTCAGAAAGTTTAGTAACACTGTTCCTACAGTCATGTGGAAAGTTCAAAATGAGCCCAAGCATTGGGTGAACTAGTTAAGATTTCCAGAAAGTACTGAGTGTCTCCCAGCTGCTTCTTCCTTGCTGCTTAAACTAAAAGGTAAAAAGGAGAGAGAGAGCCAAAAGAAGGACTATTGAACAAAAAGGGGCCAGGACTTGCTGGTTTGGAGGATTCCCTGTCTCTCCAGATAACATAACATGCTTAAATTTAGAAATGGACTATAGGCACTTCTCTCTGAGAACCACCCTGTAAGGGAGCCCTCCTGGGAGCAAGACGAGTTCACAGGTTGACACCCCACTGCAGAGCACGGGGTCAGCACTGGTAAGCCTCAGATGGTTGTGGCTCCTTATTCACATCAAAGCTGTCTGTGAACACCCCGAATTTTACCCTCCAACTTGTTCCTCTAATTATACAGAGTCCTACTGGGATGGTTGTGAGGATTATCCCACTCTATACAAATATATTCAAGACTTTTTGAATCATCTTAAAAACCATTTCATAGGTTTGGAAACTGAAACTGAATGGTTTGCAGAGACAGTGAATGGCTGTGTTACAATAGATGATGTTTTGCAAGAACACAGAGAAGTAATGTATCAACAGGCCATATCTTTCTCAAATCCTCTTACATGAGAGCTAGCAATTGGCAACTTCCAGAGAGTGGTAGTTTCCACCAGTTGCTACTTTAAAGCTATCAGAATTAATATGAAGTTAAGGACCAAGCTGCAAAAAGAATGAAGTTACTTGAAAACAATTCCACGTATTTGTACTCTTCCTGGAAGAACTTTATCTTAACCTGAAGATCAAGGGAACAAATGGACCAGGTTATGAGAGCAGGTCTTCTTCAGGCTGTCTTCAGGGGTTGTTGGATGTCCTTTTTTCTAACCCTCCGGGCAACAACTTAATTTGTGCAGTACAGTTACTGAAGTTGACACGGTCAGTTTGAAAGATGCTGGAAGGAAAAAGGAAAGACTGGTATGCAAGAAATTTTTCCGAGAATTGAAAATGTCACCCTAGATGCAAATGGCCACAGACATATAAGTCAGATGCTCATGAAACTTGTAGAACTCTGGTCAAATAACTGGGGTAGAACCCATGCAACCTCAACAGAGAAGCAGCACCTGAAAGTGAGACTATGCTATGAGTGAAGCAATGTTCTGCACATCTGGTGGCTTTCCTTTCCCTGCAGTTCATCCAGATTATGAAGAGAAATATCAAGAATTCCTTGAGAGACTTTTTTTTCCAGATTATGAAGAAAATGGAACAGATTTATCAGGGGCTGGTGATCCACACTTGGATGACAGTGATGATGAGCTTGACTCAGAGATCAAAGAAACTAATGAACAGCTTGGTTTGGCATCAGAGCATAAGCAAAAGCAGTAAAGCTAAATTTCAGCATATCAGTTTCACAAAGCTATTTAGCTTGTGGTGATTTAACAGAACACAGGAAAGCAAGAACATGTGTTACTCTTATACTAAGTCAAGGATGTTGAGTTATGTTGCTAATGCACACAACTTTTGTTTTACAGTATCTCCCAAAATAACCTTTATTACCTCCTCCTGAAAAAGAGGATTCTAATCAAAGATAAAATGCAGGGCATGGTCAGGAAAACATATGTGAATGGAAAATCCTTTGTTAAGACAGCAGAAATATCAAAGTGGTGCCTCAGAGGATATTACACAATGCAGTCAGACAAAAATTTCATTAAAAAGACCCACTCACATCAAATAAGGAGTTCTAAGTAGCTACTGAATATTCCTAAAGAGTGTAGACTGTCAACTTTTATTTAAAAAATACAAGCAATTCTGAGTTTTTTTACAATTATGCAACTTCAGAATTTTTCATACAATAGAAAAATACAAGAGACATCAAAATGTTGAAATATCAGACTCTGTTGCCCCAGGCTCATACCCCTGCCCCTCCCTTGAGTGGAACCCAATTATTCTTATCTAAGTTTCAGGAGGAAGCTGCATAGAGAAAAACACAAAAACTGATTAGAACCAACTAGGCCCAAGACTGCAGAGGATCTTACTTCCAGTCGACCTTGAGCCTTATTACAGGCTCATTGTAATACATAGCATGCTAAATGACACATCCAAACAGCACCATGGCAGTTGACAATTGCCATGAAAACAACCCAGAACTCCCACACAAGGATTGAAAAGGAGTTGCATCAGTGCCAGGTCCAACCACATCCCTGTTTAGTCATGAATATTCCTCCCACTCTTTCCAATCTCCACCCACCCTACCCTGACCAGACCACCCCTACCCCACAACCTGCCCCTTCACTTCGAGCTTTCTATATATTCGGTGTCTGCAACTGACGTGGGTTGAGAAGCTGATCTGTGAGCTAGGTTATCACTCTGCCAGTCTTTGGCCATTGAGTAAAGCTTATGGTCTTCCGGTCTCAGCATCTGTCTCATTATTGGCTGGGTGAACCTGATCAGAAAAATAACGTCCCTGGCCAAGGCAAGGGGTCCTGGCCTGGGACCCAGACACAGGTCCAATCAACCAATTCTATAACAAATGGGAGTGAGAAGCAAGAGGGTGCCAGGCTGGAAAGGCCTTCCCACCAGATGGAACAGTTCTCAAGCCCTGGGGCTAATAGGGAAGTCACAGAGGTTCAAAGATTGGGCTGGGCAGAAACCTGGTGTTTAGGCACCGATGCCTCTGGAACCAGGTGACCATCACCAACATGAGACCCTGGATGCCAGTAGAAAGGGCTCAGGGCCCTACAGGAGCACACAGAGATGCAGTACAGCCAGCAGCTGAGGGAGTCCCCGGGCCTCAGTCCACTCTGTGGAAACTGGGGACAGACCCATGCCTGTGAGGTTTGCCCAGGCTTCTGCAGGCCCATGCTCATGGGTTCTGGTTGCCCACCTTCCAGGGGGAAAAAGGAGAGCAAGAAAGGGTGTTGCCAGAGTGGCCATCAACCAGGTAACAAACTGCAGGCTGAGGAAGGACGCCTTCGCTGCCAGTGAAACAGATTGGATTACTGCGGTCCCTGGCATTGCAGCCCAGGGCCACACGGAGGATTCTGGGTACTGCAGTGCCCAGGTGGGCGGTAAAGCTGAGAATTCTGGGTACTGTAGTCCCAAGATTATTGAACACACCAAGACTTCTGAGTACTGTAGTCATTGGATGGGTGAGCACGCCGAGGATTCTGGGTACTGTGGTGCCTGGGA